CCAGCTATGATCTGGCAAACGTTTGTCATAATAAAGGTTCTCCCATCCATTCTGCCAGGCCTAGGTACCGGCGCTCCCATCATAGAGTCGCCCTATGGAGACCCTGTGAACCCCGAAGATGCTCCCGAGTCCATCAGCAGAGCTGTGGCCAGCCTTCCACCTGAGCAGATGTTTGAGCTGATGAAGCAGATGAAGGTTAGTAGACAAGCAAGGGATTATTCAGCATGTTTTGAACACCCAGCCTGGCGATCGGGCATGCTGTAGAGCAGTAGTTCCCCAGCCTTGGGCCTCCTGATGTTCTTGGACTTCAACTCCCAAAAATCCTGGCCAGCAGAGGTGATGGTGAAGGCTTCTGGGAGTTGTAGTCCAAGAACATCTGGAGGCGCAAGGTTGGGGACCACTACTGTAGAGGCAAGTGAACAGCCTTAGTGAAGAAGGGGTGGATCTCCGAGGTCTTCCTCCACTGGTCCATTTCATTACCTCACTAACCACAGAGAAAACAAAAGTTTTTGTGCCAGCAGACAGGAGTTGTGGAGGAGAAATAGTGCCCCATCATCTCTTATCAAGTCAGTTTGGTAGAATGTGGTCTTTGAGGAAGCAGCCTCCTTTTTGTCCTTTGCAAGGCCACATAGAATCGTGGCCCGCTAGCCTCTCAGCTGGCTAGTACTTGTTATGGCATGGTTCACAAGGCGGGAATAGTCTGCCTTCACTTCAGCCAACCCATAAAAGCTGTTTAATGGGAGACATATCCAGGGGGCTCAGTCCCCAGTTCTTCCCACTGAAGGATCTCATGTGGGAAGACTAGATACAGCAAGGAGTTTGCGCTGGTGCCAGGAACAGGCGAGAAGCCAGTATAGGAACATGTGGTGGGTTCTCATATAGTCAGGGCTAGGATAGATGGAGAAGCTGCAGCTGGTCCCCAACTTGGATTCAGAACAAAATCCTCTTCAGTTCGTTGAGATACTTGAGTTGCAAAGCCGGTGTCCATGGAGAAGCAGTGGGGTCAGTATGGAGGGCATTGTGGTTCTTTGTATATGCAGCTGAATATATCAAGGGATGAAAGAGTGGCCTTCCTTCTCCCTTCTTCTCTCAAGGTAGAAGTGGTCCCTAATGACAGAATCCCACCCCACCCACTCTGGTGCCCGATTGAAGCTGATGCTGGGCTCATTTTGGGACTGACATATTTATGCACATTTTTGTGTGACTGTATCTTAAGAGTATTTGGTAATAGGCTTTATACTTGTTTATATGAGATTACATTGAACTGTTTTTATAATCATAGATTTGTAAAATCTGAGATCTTTTGATGTAGGGCAGGTAAGAGATATCTTAATAAACAAAGTAGAGCAGAAAGAAGCAATCTGGCACCCTCCAGATGTTTTAGGTGTCCGTTTCTATAAGCACTAGCTGCTGCTCAAGCATTATGGGAGTTACACTCCCAAACATGTGAAGGGCACCCAATTTTCCCACCAAGTCTTTTTGTTTGTTTGTTTGTTTCGCCCAATTTTCCCACCAAGTCTTTTTTGTTTGTTTGTTTGTTTGTTTCTGATTTTTCTTTGTGATTGAAGTGTTCTTCTCTTTGAACTCTCCCTGTGCGCTTGGTCTGGGGGAAGGTTGCTCCAAAAGCCCCGAGAGGTACGTCTGTTCCCAGTCTTTCTCTCTCCTCTCCCATCAGCTGTGTGTCCAGAACAGCCCCCAGGAAGCCCGGAGCATGCTGCTGCAGAACCCCCAGCTGGCCTACGCCCTGCTGCAGGCCCAGGTGGTGATGCGGATTGTCGACCCGGAGATTGCGCTGGTAAGCTTCCAGCTGGGAGAAGGTTGTATCTCTCTTTTTTTCAGCTATAACTCTGGGAACGGCCGTGTTCCCACCAGCATGGCTAGAGTAGTGGTCTCTAGAGTGTATGATCTTGGGATTTAACGACAGAGATCAGAGAAGCTGCCTTTTGCACTACAGCTCATAACACTCTAAGGCCAGCACAGCTGCCTGGAGGATTCTGACATGGATGGAGCAGTAAAGTCACTTCCCCAAGTGGTAATATTTTCTCTTTTGTTCCCTCTGGGCCCAGGGTTGGCAGGCCTATGCCTTTTACATTTAGGGGCATAGTGTGGATATGCTTACAGATTTATCTCTGCTCTTTGATTTTGCTTCCCCCAGAAAATTCTGCATCGCCAGACTACCGTCCCGTCTCTGATTCCTGGCAACCCTCAAGCAGGCCCAGGGCAAGGAGCTGGGCCTGGGCCAGGAGCTGGGCCTGGAGGACCTGGACCCGGAGGGCCTGGAGGACCTGGAGGACCGGGGCCAAATGCACCCATGAATCAGCCAAACGTCCCCGTCTCCCAGCCACAACCCATAGTAAGAGGCAGAGGCTTTTGGCAACATTGGTTCTCTGCCCAGTGTTTTGATTTTGCTTCCATGCTTAAAAGGTCTACGAGTTGTTGTTGCATGTCAGTGATCTTCAGCCTTTTGCTTCCAGCCACTGCAGACCTCACCTCCCGGAAGCCCAAGCCAGCATAGCCAGTTATCTTTTTTTTCTTGAACATAATAGGGTTGGGAAGGAGGCGGGTCTATGTTTTTCTAATAGTGAGCCCTGCAAAGTGGCTGCTGAAGTTCCATCCTTCCAGGAGGACAATTGTATGTGCTCATGATCCCCAGGTTCACTTGCTATAGATGGTTCCTCATTAGAAGGAACTGATATGTCACTGACGTCCTAATGGGGAGACAATTGAGGGTTTGTACGAGAAGGAGGAGCAGTTCTCTTCCATAGGCTGATGAAGATTTAGGCCTTTCTCTTACCAAAGTGGTCAACTAATGTGAGCCATACCACTTGGAACTGCAAAAAGAAATAGGCATGATCTAACATTCTCTATGGAAGAACATTGTCTGCAGGTTGAAAGCCAGCTATCAGGGAGAAGGAGGGGTTAGTCCTCTGGTACTGCGTCTTTCTGGATGCATAAATGGTATTACCGTATTTTTCCATGTATAAGAAATCTAAGTGGGGCTTAGCAAGGGGGGGGAAAGGGATCAAAGCACTGCAGGATCGCTTTGATCCCTGCTTTCTCCTCCACTTGTTTTTGTTCTCTCCTCAGCTTACTTCCATGTATAAGATGACCCTCAATTTTAGTCTAAAGATTTTAGACAAAGGCATAGACTTATACATGGAAAAATATGGTATGTTTTGCTGTCAAGAAGCATTCTGCCATGTGAGCTCCTCAGGTGAGTTGGGGCAACTCAGATGCAGGGTGATGGCCACCTCTGTGACGTGAATAAGCTTGCCTCCTTTTTTTCCAAACAGGCAGGCATGCATGTCAACGGAGCCCCTCCTCTGATGCAGCCACCCATGCAAGGAGGAGTACCAGCCCCAGGTCAGATGCCAACCTCCGTGCCTGGCCCTGGACCTGGACCCTTGGCTCCAGGAGGTGAGATGCTTAACGTGTATCTTGTTAAACATTTGCCCTGGATTTGTCTGCAGTAAATGTTGATCCAAGTATGTGCAGATCAGAGTATGGAAAAGTTGCTTTGTGGGCTATAACTCTTGAAATTCCCCAGCCACACTGACCAGTGATGAGTGATGGAAATGGATCACCATATTTTTCCATGTATAAGACGATACTTTTGTCTAAAATCTTTAGATTAAACATTGAGGGTCGTCTTATACATGGAAGTATAAGGAGGGTGAAGGGATCAAAGCACTTTGATCCCTGCTTTCCCCCTCCACTTTCTTGCCGAGAAAGTGGAGGGGGAAAGCGGGAATCATTAAAGCACTTTGATTCCTGCTTTCCCCCTCCACATCCTTGCTAGGAAAGTGCTTTCCCTGTCCACTTTCTTGCAATCAAAGCGCTTTGATGATTCCTGCTTTCCCCCTCCACTTTCTTGCTAGGAAAGTGCTTTCCGTGTCCACTTTCTTGCAAAGAAAGTGCTTTTCCCCTCATCAAAGTGCTTTGATTTCTGCTTTCCCCCTCCACTTGCTAAGCCCCACTTAGATTTCTTAATTTGGGGTTAGAAAAGTAGAAAGGTCTTATACATGGGGGCATCTTATACACAGAAAAATATGGTAGATTAGACTCTAATCTTTTACCCCCTTATTTGGGCGAAGCCTCCTGAATTCAGTGGAACATACTCCCTTGTAAACCACACACCGGATTGCACTGTTATGTATTAAGGTTGTAATTCGATGCATATTTACTTTGGAGAAAGTCCCACCGAATTCTGCAGGAGCATCTGCCCGAGTCAGCCTTCCTGTGCCTCAACTTCTCCATATGTGTTGAAATGCAGCAAACAGAGAAGGCCCTCTCCTGTTTCCCCACCAAACACACCTATGAAGGTGGCAGCTATCCTACTTTGGGCCCATCATGAGAAGGCATGATTCTCTGGAGAAGACAATAGTGCTGGGAAAGGTGGAAGGGAGCAGGAAAAGAGGAAGGCCAAATGTGAGATGGACTGACTTCATGAAGGAACCTACAGGCTTGAGTTTATGAGAACAGAGCAGGGCTTTGGGAAGCGGGACATTTGAGAGATCTCCCCATTCATAGGGTTGCCGTTAAGTCACAGTCGCTAAGTCAACATAGCTCAGCCAGTTAGGGATCTGACGATGGAGTCAAAGGTGGTGACTTCAGTTCTCCAGAACTGTCCATCTCAGAAGAGCCAGCTAGTGAGGCTTTGGGCAAGCTGCAGAGTGCCAGGATACCCCCAGAAGGAGGAAATGGTAAGCCAGTTCTGATTATTTTTTACCTGGAAAGCCCTGAAAACTGTCACCATCAGGTAGAATTGACTTGGCACGTTATTGTTGTTAACAGCTTTACCTGTAATCATAAACCAGCAGGGTTGTTTGGTTAGCAAGTGTGTGTCTCTATGTGTGTGTCTGTGTCTGTCTGCATATTTTTTTATGCAGCTGCTGCTCAATATTCTCTGGTAAACAGTTTTTCAGTAAGTTTGCTTCTTGCTTTCCTGACCTTTTTTTTCCTCATCACGTAATCCATCCATCTTGTCCCCAAGAAGGACATTCACCTGCCTGTCTTCTCCCGCAGGTGGCATGCCAGGAGGTGGCCCGATGCTCTTGGAACGTGGGCAAGGTAAGCGGCTACTTATCCGTCCTTGAGAAGGCCACCGTGTCCCGAGGAGACTTCTGCTTCCCAGGCTGGGAGGAGAGGGGGAGTCCCTTTTGGGGAATCCCATCCCAACTAATGAAGCAATATCCAGCTGTCCCAGGCTCTCTGTAACTCTGTCCCTCCCTTTCTCTTTGCGCTTAGTGGACAATGAGAGTGATGCTTTCCCCAGTAATGCTCCATCAGGTACTTTGCATGCATTGCAGAAAAACAGGGGAAAACCCCACCCTTTGGTTGGGGTCCACCGTCCCTATTGAGTAGTGCTTGAGCCGAGTTGCGCCTGTTTTCTTTTCTTTAGCCAGTAGAGGGCGCTGCCACCCCTTGAAATGCTTATTTTTTTAAAACAATTTAATTTCGCACAAGGTAGGGGGGTTGCTTTGTTCTGATGATGAATGCCGAGAGAGGTGTGTGTGCGTGTAGATGTTCCTGCATGTTTTTCCACCTAGTCGAAGTGCAATGCATTTCTAGTTTGCTCAAAAGAAACCCAAACAGCAAAATAACTTATAAGAATTGCCTCATTGCATTGCCCCTGATCCAGCACTTTTCTGAAGGTTTTGGAGTACAACCTCAGCCCAAATGGGCAGTGATCAAGAAGGACAGAAGTTGTCTAAAACATCTGGAGGACACTTGGTTAGTGAAAGTTGCTTAACAACAGGCAGCCCCTGCTATCTTTGGAAGCTCATCAGCAGAACAAGATGCTGATGTTCAGAATAAGCAGAAACACATGGGCTGATTTTAATTATCTGTTATGCCCAGCGACAAGCATAGGTTGCAGCATTGCTGCCTGTGTTTATTCTCAGAAAGATGTGGCTAAGAAAGAGAGACATTTAGCCCCATTTCCTCTGAAATAAATCTCACTAAGTTCAGTACAACTTACATGCAAAGAACAGCTGTCTTAGTGAGGTTTATTGCTGAGTACGGATACTTTAATTATTACTGTTTTGTCTTAGCTTGGCTTCCATTATGAAAGAATAGTGGTTAATGTGGTTAGCAACCATTACTAAAACACGTTAAACAACACAGCCATTAAAATCATCATAGCAATTGATCATTGTATGTGTCTGGGTAGGTCTTCTCTCATTTCATACCTGTGTCTATTTTCTGTGTTTCTAAATTTTAACTGTTGTGTTACTGTCATTGTGTTGTGTTTTGGGAATGGATGCTTTGCTATACACCTTCAGATGGGGGTGGGTGTAGCATAGATCTGGATCTACTGGGGAATCTCTGGGTGAAAATAACAGCAAGCCATTAAACACAAACCAACCCTTATCCTGAATCAAAGGCAGGCAAAATGTGACCCATTGTGCTTCACCATCGGCTGTCCGGGGTTCATAGAAGCTGCGACACCTGGAGGGACACATTTTTCCCACCCCTGTAGCCAGCAATGGGTTTTCTGTGGAATGAGTTCTGTGCTTTGTTAAGTTCAGGTCATTAGTAATAATGTCACGTTGAGTCGATTGTGACTTATAGTGACCCTTTCTGGAGTTCTCCAGGTACAGAGTACTCAGAGGTGGTTGACCTTTACCTTCTTCTGTGGCTGCCCTGGGACTCGGAAGCTTGCCCAGGGCCACCTAGGCTGCCTCTTCTCCCAGGAGGCCCAGTGGGGGAATTGAACTCCCAGCCTCTGGCTCTACAGCCAGATATTTAACACAGATACTCACAACAAATCCCTGGATGCAGAAGTCATAAATATATTGAATCGGGTTTTATTGGGTGGATCTAAGAGCTGAAATGGGAGGGGGAGGGGCAATGGGGATCTTTCAGGCCTAAAATCTGCTTGTTTCTGCCTTAAAACTCCCTAAATTGAAAGCTAGTGCCACAGAATGATTCTGGTATTGGACCAGGACTGGAGATGCCTGGTTTCAGATTCCCCCGTGGCCGCGGAGCTTCACTGGGTATTTATTTATTTATTTATTCCATTTATACCCCGCCTATCTGTTCATTGTGAACACTCTAGGCGGCTTGAGCCATGTGGCGTTGGGTGACCTAACTTGCTTCATAAGGTTTTGGGGAGAATTAAATGTTGGCGAATGTGTTGAAAGAGCAGCGAGTGCTCTTGCGGGGGGGATGATTCTAGCCAAATAAATTCCCACACAGTTCTTTTGGGCAGATTCGTATTTTCTATGCCCCCCACCCCCAGACAGACACATGCACTCTGTTGTCCCAAATCAACTTGGGACAAGTATTTTAAAACATGGGTAACAAGATTGACCTTAAAACAACAATCTGCAAAAGGTAAACAAATCACAGAATTCTAAAACCATCTCAAACAAGTGCAAACAAGAACAGTTTTTGTTGGCATTGAGTTTAGAGTAACCTGCCATCTATTAAGGTGGGTCCTTGATGACGTTCTCCCTGTGAGGGAAAGGGTTTTCCTAAGTCTGAAGGCCACCACAATAAGACCTTGTTTTTGTTCGTTCTCCAAATTGCCATCAAGAGGAGGGTGTGTTCAAAGCAGGGCTTGAGCAGACAATCTTGATAATCAGTAGGTCCACATGGGTGCAGCTTCTCCTTCAGGGACCACAGTTCCAGACTAGTGAGGGCCTTGAAATAGTTTGAAACAGCACTCTGGATTGTGCCCATAAGCAAACTGATTACCAGTGTAGGCCTTGCAGCCTGGATCTGCTCTGGTTTGCTCTGTAGGACCTAAGTAATGCCTTAACCAGGTGAAATTCACAAACCCTTTTCAGAAGCAGCCCCTCCCTGCCAGGTGTTGCCATCGTCCAGTGGGAGGTGTTCAGAGCTCCGCAGGGCGATACTTGCAACTCCAGTCTCATACTTACATTGAAGAGCAAGAAGGAAGTCCTGGAGGAACCCTGCCTTTAGGGTTGACGGAATCATAACTCTGAAAGAGGCGGTCCTATTCATTCAAAGGGAAACTTCACCCCAAAAATCTTCTGGAAGGAAAGGGTGATCCAGTCGGGTTGTGTTTGTTTATATCTGTGTGTCTGTGTGTGCACGCGTGCGTGTGGATGTACGTGCGCCTGTGTAGACCGTGCACCTCCTACTGATGTGACTGCTCTTTCTCCCTCTCTTCCTGCTGTTCGGCCAGGGAACCTGCAGCTCTCTCCCGTGGGACCTGCCAGGCCTGCCTCTATTGAGCGAGTTCAAGGTACCTGTAGCTGCTGTTGGCTCCTCTTACCTTTTGCACCCAGTCTGGGGTGTGCAGGACAGGAGCCCACAACTTCGGTCTGTGAGAGGCTGTGTAGCCTGGCAAACAGAGCAGAAGACCTGTTTTGAAGAGAAAAACTAAAAGGAACAGGGGTCAGAGGAGAGCCTTGTCTGTACAAGGGCTACCTGTGATGAGCAGTAGCACAGGAAGGAGGACCACTATAACTGGTCTTGTAGGTCCATTTGTGTTTTTCTGGCCCTCTTTTGACACAGTTCACAAGGTGTTTGTGCTTGGGTGCTATTAGGAAACCTGAAGCTTTAGGAGCTAATGTTCAGTATATGTAACACCACTTATGCATAGTTCTTCCCTGCAAAGCAAATGTTTTGTGCTCTCTCTCTCTCTTTTTCCCCACTGTCTTGTCTTTCTGCTGCCTACCTCTCCCTTTTGGCTGGGCACCCATTCTTACAGATGTTACTTCAATATCTGCAGTGTATATTGATGGTCACATATGAAGAGTACAAAAAATATACCGTATTTTTCGCACCACAAAACACACTTTTTCCCCACAAAACAGGAGGGTGGAAAGTCTGTGCGTCTTATGGAGCGAAGAAAACAGATTATATTTTCCTGTTTTCTTCTCCTAAAAATTGGTGTGTCTTATGGAAAGGTGCGTCTTATGGAGCGAAATATACGGTAATTAAGACTCTCTGGAAGAATAGGAGGCATTTTAAAATAACTGTATAAATGAAATAATATCTGTTCCGTTAAGAGTGCCATATCTTTCCTTCTAAAATGCATGGAACCAGGAGTTCTGTTGTTCCTTGGTTGTTGCATGCATTTTAAAAGGGGGATATTCATGATCACTTCAGAATTGGTGTATAAGCATGTGATGTTCTACTCAGTACCAAAGTGCAATATATGTTTTAAAAGGCACATTTAAGCCCTGTATTCTATGTGTGTTTTCAGTCTTTCTTGATTCTGTCTTATCCCTGAGCAGGCAGCTGGTAGTATCGAAAGGAAATGAAGCATGAGAGTCAATATTATCTTTACAGAAAGCACCCCAGGGACATTGTGGCTTCCCTCCAGTACATAGTGTATCTCAAGCAGATTGAGTACACAAAAGAAATAGCCTTCAATCTGATGGGCGCTAAGCTGTCGGACATGATATGGTGCCCGTCTCTTCTCAAAATCCTCAAAGGTCACTTTTTGCCTTCCTGGCAGTGCCCATGCCGGACCCGAGGGCCCCCATGCAGCGTGGACCGATGCCAGCTAGCGGACCACCACCTCGAGGCCTCCTGGGCGATGCCCCCAATGACCCACGTGGGGGAACCTTGCTCTCTGTCACTGGAGATGTAGAGCCCAGGTAGGCATCACGGAATAGAACTTGGTCGAGTTGGTGTCCAGGGTGGTGGCGGGAGAGAGAGCTATCTGCTCCTCTTGAGAAGACTGGGACTCTTGCAGTGATTTTAAACGTGCAGGATGGATACCAGTTTGATACCACTTTAACTATCAGGGCTTGATCTTGCAATATCCTGAGATTAGTCATTTGGTGAGCAACTTAGCACACTCCCTTGAACTACAGCATTGGAGGGTTTTAGCAGAAAATTAAAGATGCCCCTTTCGATGCTGTAGAAGCCGGCGCAGTTAGCATGCCTAGAAGAGAGCACTCTTCAGCGTTTGGTTTTCCACACCTTCAGCACAGAGTCCAAAAGGGAGGCATTCCTACTCATGTGTATGCTCGCTACTCAGGTAAGTACCCAGATTTTTCCAGGGTTCATGCTTCCACGTGGAGCCTACATGGGAGCAGGAACATCCCCTTTTCAGACTAAGTGGTGATCATATGAATAAAAGGAACGGTGCAGGCGGCAGGGCTAAGCACTCCTGTCGAAGCCCATTGACGCCTCTGGATTCTGTAACAACTGAATAGGGCTTAAGTCTGTAACCCCAAACAAAGGACATTAGGGTTCCATAGGGTGGTGGGGAGACAAAATGCTATCCAGCAGCTGTATCCATGAGGTAGATGTATGCAATGTCCCATCCAAATTGGGAAAGCCCTTTTAGTCATTCCTTGCGGGCTTAGCTTGAAGCTCCTGTCCGATCGCCATAGGTGACAAGACGTTTCCTTCCAGTCAGTGAATAGGCTGGCAAAGGAGAGCTGGGGTGGCCCCAGTGTCCCCAGCACAAAAACCGGGTTGGGTTGCTGGAGGAGAGGGGAATCCTCTTTTTTTTTTTTATACACCTTGGAACAGAAATGCTGCAGAGTTTTGCAAGAGGATCAGAGTTACCTGCTTTTGAAAGAAGAGACGCGTTAGACAAGCATATCAGACAAGAAACAAAAGCTGCAAACAAAAAAAGAGACAAAGACATTAAGGAAGTGGACTTGAAGTAAAAAAGCTCACGCTAAAATATAGCATTGAGATAAAAGCAGGGGAGCTGTGTAGCTGTTAAAACATACAAATGCAAGAGTAGAACGCGTTTATAAGCCACTAATAAAGTTACGGCTGAGGCAGCTGTGGGTTGGATCTCACGTCCCAGTTCTTCAAGCCAAGGGCATAGGCCACGTGTGGACACATATACCCCTCCTCTCCATTTGGTTCCTCTTTGAAGCAGCCACGTTTACATCTAAGATTCTCATCCTGGCAAAATCCATCTTGCCGTGAACATTTGGACTTTTGGTACTCGCTTGGAAGAAGTGGGATTTACCCACCATACTGTGTGATTTTTTAATATTCTTATTAGTGGTCTCTATAGGTAAAGGTAAAGGTTCCCCTTGACAATTTGTCCAGTCATCTCCGACTCCAGAAGGTGGTGTTAATCCCTGTTTCCAAGCCATAGAGCCAGCGTTTTTGTCTGTAGACAGTTTCCGTGGTCACGTGGCCAACACGACTAGATAGGGAACGCTGTTACCTTCCCATCGTAGTGGTACGTACCCGTGTTTCCCCAAAATAAGATGGGGTCTTATATTAATTTTTCCTCCAAAAATTGCATTAGGGCTTATTTTCAGGGGATGTCTTATTTTTTCCATGTACAACAATCTACATTTATTCAGATACAGTCATGTCATCTGGTTGCTGCACAAGGGTAGAGGGCAGGGTTTCACTTAGCTGAGGCTTATTTTGGGGGTAGGGCTTATATTATGAGCACCCTGAAAAATCATGCTAGGGCTTATTTTCAGGCTAGGGCTTATTTTCGGGGAAACAGGGTGTTTATTTACTCGCATTTCCATGCTTTCGAAGTGCTAAGTTGACAGGAGCGGGGACAAGCGACGGGAGCTAACTCCGTCGCTTGGATTCGATCTTACAACAGCTGGTCTTCTGACCTTGCAGCCCAGAGGCTCTGTGGTTTAACCCATAGCGCCACCACGTCCCTTTATAAAATATAACTGTTAGGCTTTTAAGGTGCCACAATGTTTTTGTCTCTCTTTTTTTGTTTAAAGTTTTGTTTAAAGTGGTCTCTGTGCTGTTTTTCCACCTCCGAGCCCACTGGGAAGCATTTTTTTAAAGGTTAATTGAAGATTGGTTTGAATCCTGCCTCCCTGCCTCTGAGAGCTCAGGAGCTGCCTGGGGTGAGCCAAGCCAGGCCAGAGCCCGGGAATACTTCAGTGCGTCAGATGGAGCTCTAAAACCTGGCTCTGATAGCTCCCCGGGCAGAGCAGCCCCATCGGCAGCTGGATTATTCCAGCCATATTTCACTTGGTTCCATGGTAGGCATGCCAGGCTAGTCTCTCCTATGGTTGAATGCAGTCATGAGGAATGGAACCCCAACAGAAAAGGATTACACAGAGGGCTGTATATGGCTGGGCTAGGACTCCTCCCCCTGCCGTCCCGTCTGTGGTGGGTGCCAGAGTCTTGTTTCTGTCTGTTTTGCATGCCATGAGATTTTCACCTGTGACCTGCTCCAGTCCAGTCCAGAACCCGATTGCCTGCCTGCTTGGTGTGCAAGAGCCGAGGGACCTGGGTTTCAACCTGAAGGCTGACCTTCTCCCCCTTTTCTCTGTCCCCTTCCCCTTCTGCAGAGGCTACCTTGGACCCCCTCACCAGGGGCCGCCCATGCATCACATGCCCGGCCATGACAGCCGTGGGCTGCCCCCTCATGAGATGAGAGGCGGACCCATGGGAGAACCCAGGCCTTTGATGGGAGAGCCGCGAGGGCCCTTGATGGATGGCCGAGGTGAGAGAGGGGGTCGACCAGAGTTAAAAAGGACAAACATTTTGAAAGTGGGTGATGTCAGTTGCAGCACCGTATGGAATTTTCACAGTGAACTGATTTTAAATGAAAAAAAAAAAAAACCAAGATAAGTTAAGGTTGGCAAACTATAGAAATGTGTTTTTCTCCTACTACTAATGCACCCAAAATGAATAAGCAATGTTTCATAGAATAAATTGCAACAAGAAATTTTACAAAAAATATATTTCTTAGTTAAAGACGTTTTCTAATCAAACAGTCCCTGTTATATATTCTCGAAGGCTTTCACGGCAAGGATCTGATGGTTGTTGTGGGTTTTTCGGGCTCTTTGGCCGTGTTCTGAAGGCTGTTCTTCCTAACGTTACCAGAGTACAGACAGAGTTCCTACTCCAGTCCTCTGAAGATGCTGGCCACAGACTGGCGAAATGTTAGGAAGAACAACTTTCAGAACACAGCCAAAGAGCCCGAAAAACCCACAGCAACCTTCGGTCCATGTTATCATTGATTTATTTAGCTATTACAATTTGCTTTAAATTGCAATATTTGGTTTGTATTTTGCTACAAGACAGGAAGCCTGGGGGAAGGGGAATAAAGATGAGATAATTAGAAGTTCTTGGATAGACAGGGGAGCACATGAATTCAAGGCTTCAGATAGGTTCCCAGAGGCTGGTGTAGATAAGGCTAAACCCTCGTTTTTCTTACTTTCATATCAAAGTGTTGCACAATTTAAAATTACGGAAGTATATGAAATATAGGCAGAATAAAACAGATTAAACTGTTAAGACAACTAGACTTTTTTTTACTATAAGCAGACTACTTTAATAGCGATATCTTGGCCATTTGCTAGATCTTCTTTTGTGCATGTAGTTGGCCATAAATTGCATATACCGTTTTTTTCGCCCCATAAGACACACTTTTTTCCCACAAAACGGGGGTGGAAAGTCTGTGCGTCTTATGAAGGGAAGAAAACATTATATTTTCCTGTTTTTTTCTCCTAAAAATTAGTGCGTCTTATGGAAAGGTGCGTCTTATGGAGCGAAAAATATGGTACATAAGTTTCATAAGTTTGATGTTCCATGAAAATTAGGCTGATGTGTAGCACTACCTGGAGGTCGTCTGTGTTGAGGGCTTCTGTTTTAAATGCTGAAAGCAGAGATGGACAATGTGTGGATCTCTCGGTGGTCTGAACTACAGATTTCACAGTCCCTCATCATTGGCTATTCTGGCTTCGACTGATAACAGTTTTTGGCCAAAATGTTTGAAGGGCTCAAGTTTCCCCACTCTTGGTTTAAAACTCCACTTAAAGCTTTTTTGCATAGCTGTGGTTTGTTTATACGTGAGACAACCTAAGCAAAGTATATAGCACAGGGAAGATTATTTGATTTCTCTGCGTGTTTAAAGTTTCAGTGAAGCTTCTGGGTTTTAAATGGGCCTAATTTTTGCTGGTTTTTCCACATTGTGTACAGCAATATTCCGTAATTATTTTGCAAAGATAAAAAAGGAGATCTTTCCAAGATGAGCACCTGCTCTATCATTCAAGGGCTTCTGCCCAGAATACTTAATTTTTCCTATGGTTCCAGTTCCACATAAGGAACCTCCATAGGTAGAGAAGACTCTTTTTTTTAAGAAAGTCTCTCCTGAAACAAGAGCAATGGCGTGAATGGGAGAAGGGTGGTGTGCTCTCCTCCTGAGGTATGTGTTGTACGCTTTTGGGGGACGTCCGGATAGGGCGAAGTCCAGCTGCTACTTTCCGGTCATCAGGACCCTCCCAAGTGGAGGCTGGGGAGGGTCCTGATGAGCTGCTAAAAACAAAATGAGAATTTGCAGAAGTCCAGTTCCAATGTTAACAAACACTTCTTAGGGGAACAAACAAGACCTAGAAGTCTTCTGTGCCTTTTTTAAGACTGTTTTTTCACTCAATAAATGGGGGAAGGGATGTTCCTGGTTTCAGCAGATGCCAAAGACCCACCCCACCCCCATAACAAAAAAGACTCTATAAC